AAGTAAAAAAAAAAAAAAAAAGAAACACAAAAAGTAACTATATACATCCAGGTTTAGAACATGTGTCCTAATTCAGTTCCATCCAGAATTACCTCAAATGACTTTATATATAAAAAACATATATAATGTTATAAAATATTTCGATTTCAAATAAATGTGGTTCTTTTAAAATTTCTATTTATCAACCCATCCTATCACAGCTTCCACAAAAATATTTCCAAAGCAGCAAATCAGCATATTAGAATCATTTCTGAAGGATCATGTGACAATGAAGACTGGAGTAATGATGCTGAAAATTCAGCTTTGCATCACAGGAATTTTAAGATATATTACAATAGAAAACTGTTACTTCACAGTCTTGCTGTTTTATTGTATTTGTGATCAAATAAAAGCAGCCATGGTGAGAGTAAGAGACTTCTTTCAAACGAATTAAAAATCTTACCAATCCCACACGTTCGTTCATTTCATTACTTTAAGGTTGCATGATGGCATTTAAGTTCACTCACATTATTTGCTTAAAATGATTAAGTAAACAAATTTAACTAAAAAATCATGTAACTGTTGCTTTCATGTTTTTTATCCAATGAACACAGTGAAGGAGAGGAGACAGCGTTTAGGGAGCTCTGTAAGTGCTGGCGGTTTCTGATGTCTCTCAAGCCTGGAAGCAGCGCTAGGCTTCTTGTCTCCTCAAACGTCATGCCACTCATCGCTTCATACATTCCTTCCTCTTTTTCACATACTATACTTCCCTCTGATTTATAAATTGCTTATCCTGTCTCATACCACCCAGATTCCTTCACTCAAGGGGCATGTTTCCACTCCACCACCTTTGTGATGCTTATCTGATAATAGAAGTCATGGGGAAAATAATCTACATTTCTCAAAGAGCGAGTCACACGCCAAACATTATGTCACGACGGTAATAAAAAATGTCTTTAAAGCAGGCTGCCCTCCATAGGGTCAACTGGAACATCTGGTGCCATTTTGCTTTAATGATGCATCCAAAAGGGATTTGTAAATACTGACACACTATCTGATGGTGTAATCGTCGGATGCTTGTTGCTTTTCATTCTTCAAATTGGCGTCAAATGTGCATGAAAGCCAATCAGTGCCCCCTCTGCATTCTTTCAGACATGTATATTGTTGACAGGCAGCTGGTATGCGGATTTTATGCCATGTTATGGTTAGGCGACAGAATGATTTGAGCCTATTAATGCTTCTCAGTGAGCTCTATATAGATCTGTGTGTGTCAAGAAGCTCGAGCGAGAGTTTTATTACCCATTAATAGGGTGCCCAGAGCTCTGGAGAGCCTCAAGGGGAGCGAACATTATGACAACCTATCAACATTGTACCACACACATAGCACATACACGTTCAGCAGATACCTTGTTACTGTTTTCTCCAAGTAACTGATTTGATAGTGAATATGAATTTCTGCTCATGAGGAAACACATCTTGTCTAGCTGCTGTGTTTACATCCATTATTAAATTTAAAGGGGTAGTTCATCCACAAATTGACAACTTTTATGATACTTCCATAGTGATTTTGTGCCCACTTTCCTAAATGCCTTTCCCTAAAACTTCCAAAAAGAGAAGAAACATTTGGGTCATTATATAATTTAGGGAACATTTCAAGACCATTGATGATAATTATATTTTTTCTATCCTTTTTCGTCAGAAATATCATGTGTTATCATTTAAGAGTATACATAATATAATCTCACACTTATATTTAATTGATGAGTCTTGAATTCAAATTAATAACTATTTTAATTAAAAAAAACAAATTACAATTAAATTTATAATTTATATCTATATTACATTTGAAACTGTATGTCTAAATACCTTAAAAATAGATTTAAGTTTAGATTTTAAATTTAATTTTCTTTCAAATAAGAAAATATTTCATTTTAGTCACTCTGTTCTGTCATGTTACTAATACTGACAAATAAAAAAATGGTTTATTACAAAACCATGTGACCAGCATCATGTGATGTAATTTTCTTCTGTGGCAGACATTTTGAACACATTATGCTAAGTGTCTTCTTCATTTTTTCTATATTTGATCTCCAGTGACCTACTGTCAAGTAGTATATTAATTGTCGAGGAGTAATTTTCTTATTTTAATTCAAATAAATATAAAAAAAAAAAGAGGTTAACCTGATCAAGAAAATAACATTTGGTTGGCCAGACAATGCCAACCACTGAAATTATGTCAAAATTGTGAAAATGTCAACTATGTTACCTGTCTGCCCATAGAGTTTTTCCGTAACATAGTTGACAAACTCGCTTAATGATTAAGCTTGGCAGATACAATACACTAATAAAATATATCAACTACGGGGTGTGCCATATTTATCATCTGCGGTAATAATTGTTATTTTATCGTAATTGTTATTTTAACTGTGCAAGCTGACGTTATCGAGTATGCCACTTAATTTGCAAAAAAGAAACAAAACACGTCTTGAGAGTCCAAAAGCATTCACTGCATGATTAGAATGCAGTTAAAATGCCCTATAATTCAAGTTATGAGCGCAAAAAATATCCCTGTATGGGCTTTTGTTTTGTATGGGCTTTTAGTTATTTTAGTAAATCAAGTTACTAAAATGAGAAACGTTGCCTCTGCAGTTTATATATATATATATATATATATATATATACATGAGATGTGATATAGTTTAGTAATATCACACAAGCAAGGGTGCTGTTTTCCCGAATATCAGCGTATGAGCGTGATTTTGAATGTGATATTGATTTTATACAGTAGGTCAACAAACAAGAATACTGAGTTAAATTTTTAAACACAATATTGTCTGTTTTTCTGTTTCACCAATGAAAAACGTTCCAATCAAAGCCGGAGCAGAACATTTGTGTGGCTCAGAGACACACTGCGGTGTTTCGTTCCTGAATGAATCTGATTTGGAACAAATTTGAGCCGATGATTCAATTATCCATTCGGAAAACAGTCCCTTGCTCATTTATAAATGAATCAGCTGTTTTGAACGGTTTGAATGAATGATTCAATGAATCACTTATTATAACAGGAATTTGCCGCCACCTACTGACGGTTTTAGTGCTACTTTTATTTATCCATGACAGGCCTAAACCAGCCAAGGTACCAGCACAAAAACACACTCTGCAAAATATTGTTTAATTACCATTATCGAAAAATCCCCAAAAATATCGAGACATCATTTTTTTGTCAATATTGCACGGCCCTAATATCAACTGAAACCAATAGTAGTGAGTTTCACAGTTTTATTGAGAAATCATACTGTATTGTTTTTACGCTTTTTTCCTCATGTGAAGTGTAAGTTATAGAATGACTGGTTTTTTTTTCAGCTGAATTCATAAAAAAGAAGAAATTAACGTATGCTTTTTGTTTGTCCCGCAGGAAAATCAAAACCAACTACTTCATCGTCTCGCTGGCGTTTGCTGACCTTCTGGTGTCAGTGCTGGTGATGCCGTTTGGTGCCATAGAACTGATCCATCAGAACTGGATCTACGGTGAGACCTTCTGCCTGGTCCGCACCTCTCTGGATGTGCTGCTGACCACCGCCTCCATCTTACACCTGTGCTGCATATCCCTCGACAGGTAAAAAACAAACGCCCATTTCATTTCAGGATTTTCATTGTGTATAAATCAAGTGCTATGAATTGAAATTCCATAAATGTATAGTCTTGACACATGACTGCAGTTGCTGTTGTCATGGCAGCCATTAATTGTTTCGCCACAGAGGACTAGCACTTGAGAGTTTAATTCTGTGGACTGTGTAGGGATGCTGTTTCCATGGCGATCTATGTGCGGCCACACAAAGTCCCTTGCCAAGTAAATCATCCACCAACACTGTGGTTATGAACCTAATAAACTCTTAGAGTCGAGCAACAGGCAAATGGTTAAAAATATGTGAAATATGACTGAGGAACATCTTGTTGTTGGACAGAGCGGGGTTTTCAGACTAGAGGAGCGCAAAGAGATGCTAATGGCTCCAGGGAACATTTGAGAGAGAGAAAAAACAAGTCTTTTTTTAGGCAATGGGTGTTCAAGAAACATTTCTCGTTATAATCAGTGTTGACAGTGCTGCTTAATAGTTTTGTGGAAATCGTCATTTATTTTTTATACTTTGATTAATAGAGAGTTTAAGAGAACAATTTATTTGACATACAAATCTTTTGTAAAATTATAATTTGTATTATTTTGTCAAATGTTTCTATATATATATATATATATATATATATATATATATAATACTTTTAACAGGTTTTAATAGTAAGAAATGAAAAAAGAGGAATACACCTGACATTACTCTCATAGTGCATAGTCAAACGATGCCAGCCTAATTGAAAGTAAATATTAAAAAATATGTTTAAATATTATAATAATTTACTACTTTAATTCGTTTTGGACTTTAGTACAGTGACATAATTTGTATATGATAAAGCTTTCAATAATTTTATTAAATTCATTAATAGTTTTCATTTAAACAATAAAACAATGAAAAATAAAATATTAAAAATATAACCGTTTTAAGTTTTAGAAGCAACAAAAATGTGTTTTTTTTTTTTAACAAATTGGGTTTTATACATGAAAATATATACCTTTATTTTAGGAAAGGTGTCCCCCACAGGGCATCAGCATATTTAATCATCCAAAACATATGAAAATCTCAGATGTAGCAGATGCTTTTATGCGAAGCAACTTACAGTAGTCCTATTAAAGAAAAAATCCCCTGGATCAGCCTGGAGTTAAGTGCTTTACTCAAGGGCACATTAGTGACAGTATGGATAAACAATTCGTATGTTCCGTTTTGCATATGTTTCTGATTTATAATGCATAAATGCTGTAGGTTTCATGAAAGATTGTTGCTCTTTGTGAAACATTAAGGTTGTTTGTTAAAGTGTCTATAATTTTGTTCGGCTTCTGTCCGCTTAGCTAGCATTTGATGCTTTTAAAGAATTACTGTAATAACCACAAGAGCAAACAACAAAAAAAATACAGGAACCCCAAGAGCAACCAATTTTGCCATATTTTTCTCAGTCTGAGCTTATCTTTCTTCTGCGTATAACTTTAATGGATAATTCGTCTAAACTCTGTGAATGGGCATTCAAATGTAATCCGTTTTATTCTGTGACATTCTATTTAGTTTCTGCCCTTGTTCCTGTCAGAAGCAAGCGCTCCATTGTGAATATTAAAAAGAAAAAATAAGAGGTACTCGACATGGTTTAGTATCTCAAGCATCTTGTGTGACACTGGCACATTGTAAAGCTACTCCATTTAGCTGTTCAGTAAAGCACTAAGCCTTAGTTTGCATGAACCAGCCTTTCAGCTCTGGCCCTTTACCCCAGAGTGATGCATTAGACCTCAGTGCTGACATTCAGGATGAGCTTTGAGTGCTCAGCTGCTTCCCTGGTTTACGTCATTTGGTCCCTGAAGTCACACAGGCCGCCTTCCAGTGCCTCGTTCGTTAAAGGGGGCCTGAGGGCTCATCGAGAGGAGGGGACTCATAATATTTGGTTTGCTCTTTCTTCGTTTGACGTGTACCTCTCTCTCTCTCTTTATTCTGGCCTACGTTTCCACTGACTTGAGAGTCGAATAATGTTGTAACTATCTAGTTGCTACATAGCCTGCCTACAAACAAACATACGATATTGCAGTCTATGCATGCCAATCTTTGCTTCTATTTCTTCTAGTAGTTTTCTTTATGCCATCATGAGCTGCTTTTGATGCAATGGCCATCATGTAAACATTTATTTAAAGGGAGAGTTCACCCAAAAATAAAAAAAAATCTGTCGTCATTTACACACACTTAAGTTGTTCCAAACCTGTATGAGTTTCTTTTATCTACTGGGCACAAAAGAAGATTTTGAAGTAACTGAACAGTTGATGGTAGCTATTGACTTGCAAAGTATGGAAAATAATATGGAAGTCAATGGCAATTAATTCGATGAGTTGCAGTAATGGAAAAACATATGGTAACATGACTTTACAGTGCATAGAGTTCCTTTTTGACCCAGTAAAGTAGAGTACAGCTCAAATATGTATGGACAATTTCAACTGACAACTGAATTTGAGTTGGCGTAGCTGTCCCCGTCTCTCTCTATTTTAAAGAGTTTCTCTAATACATTAAAGTAGTTTTTAATTTTTTCTTGTTGTTAACATTCAAAATAGTTTTTAAATATTATTGGATGTCACTTTTCCCACCAATCCTTGCACAAGTTAAGGTTACGCATGATGACGAAAGCACGTTAGTGCTAGCCCTCCCAGGAACTCATAGAGATTGCATTGCAGTGCTTGCAGTTCGAAAAAAATGATCTTTGCATGGAAGTCTATGAGAGCATTCGGAGCGATTCTCAGTCTGACAGAAATCGCCCAAAAAGGGGCGGTACTACACAAAACGCAACTCGACGCTGATTGGACTATTTAGAGGCAGAACAAACAGTCTAGAATAGTGAAAGCTAGCATAACACTGTGGTTGAATGTGAAAGAAAAAAAAAACCCTTTCGCGCTTTGGTGGTGCGTCGCCCAATCGCCCTAATGGAGAAACAACCCCTGCTTTTAAGTACAAGCACATTCAATACAATTTAGTGCACTTTAGACAGACAACTGGAGCCACCATATAATGCGACATGCAGAAACTTAGGGGCTTGTACATAGTCGACTTACAAGTAAGAGCTCATGAATGGAACACTTCCAGATTGGGCAAAAGAAGAAACTTAGCCGAAAGTCCAAGCTGCTCACTTCTAGGGCTGTGTTCGATACGACGATGTATCGTCACAGGCACTTGGCGATATGGATATCGATACAGCTGTTTCAGTATCGATATCACGGCACGTGCACAGCAGTTGGACCGCGCTTAATTTGAATACAAGAACAGCATTTAAAACGGAATTGAAAAGTGCAAGGTTTCTAAAAAAAACAATGAATAGATAGAGTATAATATATAGGCTACAACTAGGTTTAATCTGGCTGCAGTGGAACCTAACCGGGTTGCCTGATATAAAGAGATGTAATCCCCGAAACAGAGCTTCACACTTGCACAATACGGAATTATCTGATAAGTGTGTTACTTTTTTTGTCAACCTGACAACCATGTGTACACGCTCTCTCTCTCCGCTGTGGAAAAAAGCACTGGCTTTCTGAAAACACTGGTAAATTTGCAGTTTAGCGATCTCCACTTCAACAGCTATTCTATTCCCAGAAGTGTAATTCATCAAGTGTTCATTTACGAGAGAGAGACGTTGCATTTAAGAATTGCCTCCATTTTTCCTGTTTCTCTATTAACAGTGAAGCGGTGGCTTTAATTTCTTCAGAAACGATGTTACCAACTCTTTGTTGAGAAAGATATGGTAGCTCTTCAGCGGTAAAGCTCCTTTATGGATGAAATTGCAGGGCTGCGCTGAATAAGAGACTGAATCAGGGTTGCCAGGTTTTAACAACAAAACCCACCCAATTGCTACTCAAAACTAGCCCAATCGCATTTCGAGGGGGGTCCCCCGTTACAAATTGCATTCCGAGGGATAAAATACACATTTTTTGGTGGTGTTCCCCTGGTAAAATATGCATTTTAGAGGATAAATATCACGTTATTGGGGTCGCTTCAACCCGCGGACATGAAAAACAGCCCGCGGCAACAGTGTTAAAGTAACACGGAAAACCGTAGACTTGGCAACACTGGACTGAATGTGTGCGCGTGAGCTACAGTGAAGACAGCGCATTATTAGTTAAGAACACTTCTAATTTTTGTTTTTATTTTTTTTAAACGTAGAGAGTGTGTTAATTTGTGCAGTGCTAACCTACCAGCAATGCAAGGCGATTTTATTAATAGAATAGAATGAGTACATTACAATATATATTAGAATGAGTACATTATTATTTATGGGCTTAAAAACAAGATGCAAACAATCAGAATATTGTACCTGGTGGGGAGTGCCCAATGTTAACATGAAACCTATGCCATTACCTGTATTGTTATACTATGGTAGAGTTATGGAGGCAGTTCATAATGCAGAGGTCAACTGCCTGCTCTGCCAATAGTAATCAACGGCCCAATAGTTTAATTATGTTTGATAAACAGCTGTTTTACTCAATTCTGCTGAGGTGAAAATTAGTGCAGTCCCGTATCGGGATACGTATCGTATCGTGACTTTGTTGGCAATAAACAGCCCTACTCTCTTCCCTTTGTGAGCAGGGTTTGTCAATCTCCAAAAACACCATAAACACATCTAAGAAGTCCATATGACTTGTTCAATAATAAAGTCTATTAATGTTTATTTACAAAAAAGTGGCAGATGTTTGTACGTGATTGTTTGAGGGTTGTAAAAATAAAAAAATTGTAGGAAGAGATTGTTATGCTATCTCCATGTTTCTGTTCATCTTGTCTTTCCTGTTACTATTTATCGCATTCACGCTCCACTTGGCATCTACTCCTGTGCCGTTGTTGTGATGTTTTCCTGAGTATGAAGGAATTAAGAGGTTCCAGTCAACTTGGCTACAGGCGGCACTTATTACAATCTTGGATCTCGTGCAAGGGAAATGGCACCCTTTCCAGCTATTTCACAAGTCATTTGCCCTTCTGAGTTTTGACAATGAGGCTGGCCGAGTGTCCTTCCAGCGCTCACTTAGCACATATAGCAATAATAGCCATGTCATCTCAATTTAGACTGTGTGAAATGCGCTCCGCCTTGTTCTTAAAAGCTGTTTTCTGCCATGTAATTCTTCTTCGGCCTTCAGGTTAGTAGCAGTCTCTTCTCATTTCTCACACAAACCCCACGCGCCGAGCAGCATGTGTTTAGAGTCTGCGATACGGCATGAGTGTCTTCAGATGATCTGCAGTCTCAGTGTTGATTTAATGCTTAATTTAGTGCTCTCCATTATGCCTCCACTCATCTGACTCATTCCGGTTGAATACTAATTGTAGGTGCTGTGTTATTTGTGTGTCATGAGCCGCCACTTACATATAGTTTAGAAACTTCTGCAGTTCTTCTTGATAATTGCTGTGTGTATCAGCAGTTGAGAAATTCATTGTAGTCTTCTGGGTGACTTGGGAAACATACACGATAAGCAAGGTCATATATTTTATGGTGTTATAAACAGGTGCAGAGAATACAGCATGCACAAAGCTGTCCCAAAGGTTTTGCGCTTACATTGTGCTTACATCAGAGTAAGCCATGCAGAAAATGACACACATTGGAGTCATAGCACAAAAACACAATTTCAACCTGCCACAATAGCAAAAAACATTGTTCTCATTATCATTATCAAAGTTACCTGAGAAGTCAAACTGCAACTGATATTAAAAACTGCAAGACAGCAGCTGATATTAAAGAGATATTTCATCCAAAAATGGGAATATGTCTTCTTTTATTTATAAATAGATCTTCTGATGACAGTATTTTCATTTCTGGTTGAACTTTCTCTTCACAGAATGCATATGTTGTATGTCTTGTTACATTTGTAGGTTTTCAATTGCTTTTTCAATTCATTTTTCATTTGCAAGGATAATCCATGGCTGTGTGCATTAAATGATTGCACAATGTCAAGGGCGTAGGTTTGATTTTGGCATTGGTGGGGACATAATGGCAGACAGCAGGCATTTCATTGTTTGATCAAAATTATTGCTAGGGACAATTTAATAGTCACTGGATATTGGTAGGGACATGTCCCTAGCATCCCTGCGAAATTCTACGCCCTTGCACAATGAGTATCAATGTAAATGCACACTTAGAGATGGATTATCATGCTTATACCATGATCACTTGCCAGTATGGGCAAGTTAAAGCTGTCATTGATGTTTTCAGTGAACATTCTGACTGGACAGATAGTTATTTTATCAACAGACCATTAGATTTACAAGTTGGAAGTAAAATAAAGTAGTAATTTATTTGAATGAATAACAGGGTGCAGTGTCTCTCTACTAATACTGAAATTGCGAGTTTAGTTATTTCAAAAACAGTGGCATTACTACCTCGTTGCTGAGAAATATAATGCAGATTTTCAATAGCAAGGCTGCTTTATTGATAAAAGTTGTGTATTCAACAATTTCAATGCATACAATCCAGACAATCAAAATCAAGTGTAATCTATTTTGACGTGTGTATTTAGACATTTGTTAATGAATCCTGGTAATCAAACCTTTCTAAAATCTTGTCAGTAGTTAACATTGTAATTAATGTTAACCAATAGCTTAATATTGTAGCTATTTATGCACATTTGTAGGGTTTTGTCGGATCAATGTGTTAACCCCGTTGGCGTCCCTTGGCATCGATCTTGCTTGTTTTCGCCGATTGAAATCAATGTTGAATTGCCGTTTGTCGAGTTTTGGAATGTCTGAGAAGTGCCGTATAATCTGATGATGGTAGGCGTTGGTTTGCATCTGTCGGTGTGGTGTGAATTGGCCTTTAGGAATGCAGACTATATAAAATCTTACATATTAACAGCCCTAGTAATGTACTGCCAATTATGTTATGTAATAAAGGTTACAGCAATAAATGATTTTGATAGTTTTGACAATGAACCGTTACAATTGGGATGCGTCTTGAGGCTGAACTTGACCTTCAGCCCTCCTTATCCTGGTCCAAAAGCCTTCTTTAAAGTTTTTGCCAGCAATGTAATCCTCCACAATCGATTGCATTGAGGCCACTTGAATGAATACATGAATCAACCGATTCACAAGTCACAAAAAAATCTTGCTAAACGTGTAGTTTCACATTGAAATGTCAATATTACAGAATTAAAATGGGTTGCAAATGCAGTTTCATGTTGACTTTGCTAGGGCTACATTTGCAACAATTCGTAGTTGCAATGCCTTTTAAGTTATTTTTACTCAAAAACAACGCAAAAGATGTTTGAAAATAAGATTGATTTCAGTGTAAAAGTATGGTTCTGTAGTATTTAGTGTAGTATGTACTGACAACATTGCATTAAGCAGACAAAATCATCTGCAACTTCCAACACAGAGCCTGTGACCTGGCAAGAAAACGTTTGCAAGTTGTAAATTGATCTAGAAGCTTTTACTGTCACGACTATTTGCACACCTCAGCAGCATGGAAGAAAGAGACCCAGGTGGCACTACAGAAATGAAATGTGGAGTGCCGCACCTGATCAGTCTCCAGAGCAACAGGCAGCTGTCAGGAAGTCTTTCAGCGGCGGTTACGAAATGCCGTAGACTGCTGCACAGTGGGACTGCAGTGTTATTCCTCATTAAGCTGATGCATTCCTGTAAGATTTCAATTGAGGTCGTAATCATTTCAATACAAGTGCACCCTTTAGTGTGTGTCATTTTTATTGGCAAAACAGCATGACTGTGATACTTTCCCTTTGTATCCCAACTTCCATTTTTAATACGAAGAACTTTGCACTTTTCTGTCCTAAACTTTATATGACAACAATAAAGATTGTTTGTTTTCCAGACTTGTTTTACTGCCAGAAACATGTTCCCAGCAAGAATTCACTTTTTGAATCTGTATGGACGTCACATGGGCTTTATGTCTTTTGTTTATTATTGTTTGTTCATGTAATGCAGGGATTCCCAAACGTTTTTGTCAGCCTAACCCCTTAAAATAAAGTATTTACTAGAAATATCTCTGAGGAAGTTAATATTTCAAATAATTTAACAACACATTTGCATGTTTACAGTTCTCTGATGTCAGTTAATGGTCACTTTGACATACAGGTAAGCAAATAATATATATATATATATATTCTTTTTTTTTTTTTTTTTTTTTTTTGTTTGTCTCATGACTGATATTTGGTTTGTTTGTGAGAAATCATTTTTATTTTACATTAATGGTTTAATTATTAGCTTTTTATCAACTCACCAATGTAATGTTTAATGCATTTTATGATGTTGATTTAAAAAAGGAATATATTTTCTTTCTCTGTTTTTTATATCAATATGGTACAGTAAAAAAATAAAAATAAAGTAATCTAAAAGAATAAATTACTTTTCAGAGTACATTACCTAAATGAGTAACCTAGGTTAAGTTACTAGCTACAGTTTCCATCATGTAATCTGTAATCAGTAATGGACTACAATTTGTAAATAATCTACCAAGCTCTGTGTCAAGACTACTAGATCTCTCGAACTATTTTGACAGCTTATAGAAAGAGTATTATATTACAAACCACTTTATATAACCCACTAAAAATAGCCACACATCACTCAAACTCTACATTCATATTCCTGCATTCATGAATGAAGCTTGAAACTTGAAAGAGCCACAGAGAGCAGGAAACGGTCAGCAGAGGCATGAGCCTGTGAAAGCAGTGATGTAGGTGGCTCTCACTCGTGAGCTTATAGTCATTAGAAGTGTGTGTCTGCCTGTTCAGCCCAGACGTTTGCTTTTCATTTGGCTGGAGGTTAATTTCTCCACATCACACGCTTGTCCGATGCCAGCCAAGCTTGGAATTGGATTTTCACGCAGACTTTTAACGATGCTATTTCCCCCACGGCCCTGACCCCTTAGGGAAACCCGTTTGCATGACTAAACGTTCATACATGCTTCGGGAGTTGTGCAGAAACTCACTGCAGATTGCGGATTCTGATCACAGGTCTGATTTCATGTCTCTGATCAAATATAAAACCAGTGGGCAGCATATGGACAGTGCTTCAGTGCTTATTGAAATTCAGTGTGAGTTTTCAGAGGAAAGCCATGCGGTGGCCTGATGCGACTTGCTGCAATAGACAGATGATCGATAATTCATTCAAAGTCATTTTTTTATTGATGTACCTAAAATTTTGAACCCTATAATTTATTACATATAATCACATACAGTATTTGACCGGTTTGACATTACTAACATTTATATTTAAAGCTTAAGGCAAGATTTTTGGGCTGTTTGGCTTTTCATAATATGCTGTTTCAGACTAGTGGAATGAAGACATCCAAAATACACTTTTAAGTGTTTCTTTTATTGCACTTTATCTATTTGCGTCTGTAGGTTTTAATTGCAATACACATCTTTAAAGGCCGTTTTCTTAATGATTTTTTTACTTTTGCACTGAGCCAGAAATCTCCATTTTAGTTGTACTTACACGTACCAAACTTTACAGTTTTATTACTATCTACATTCTGAAGGATTTTGCAGAGATTTCAAATGTTTATTATTTGATTTTATACAACATTTTATTCTTAAAAACTTGGTGAAAATTTTTGGTTGTGAGTTTGTTTGCTGATAGTTGGGCAATTTTTCATTAACATTACTATTTGTTCTAATATTTTATTTGACTTCATTATTATCAATTTTTTTTCATATAGGGAATGCATATGATTTATCAGTGGGTATAAAAACAGATCCTTTTGTTTTAAGTGGCTAAATATTGTAATATAATTAATAATATCATTTTTGTGATTACTTAATTGTACATTTTTTTTGTAATTTGTGTTGTCTGATTAATTAAAAATGGGGACAATGTAGTGTTTTTTTCTGGCTATTGACTGTATTTATGGAGTGCTAAAAATAAATATCCAAAATCCCCTCTGTAAAAACTTTTGACTCTAAAAAAATCAGCAAATGAAACAAGAATTTTGAACCTGGCTTTATCCAGTGTTTAGATTTCTGTTCTGTAAATGTATGCAAATTATTGCATATTTAATTAGATAATGCATCATTTGCATATTTAAACAACATTTCTTGTAATACAACATTTGTTTGCAATTCTTAACATAATAAACTGGAGAAGTATGGTGAAATCTGTTAGTCTGTTAGTCTATTCACCTGGGGTGTCTTGTTGTATTTTTGTTGCATTTTATCACATTTTTGAATCTTACTGTGTAGTTGATGATTTATTTTATTAAAATAAAGGTTGTTCATCCCTCGCCTTGGACACCATGTGAGTCATGCCTCTACTGTTCATTGGAACTGTGATGTTGTCTCAAGCCTGCCTGCTTTTTTTCCACCGCGATTGCTTTCATCCCTTTAGATAGCGCTTACAGGTGCCACGGTGAGAAATCAATACGTTGGTTGAGCACGTACACAGAAGTGGCTCTGTGACATCCATCTTTGACAGGGCTGTAGTTGGCATAAGCACCAATAGAGCATGGCTGACAGTCAGCCCAAGAATCACAAGTCTTTCAGCCAGAATTTCTTCACAGCAGACTGGATGTAGGTGTGAAAGGCCGAGTGGTGGTAATTTGTTTATCACTCGCTAATATCAGCCGGAGACTGAAAATATAAGGGCCAAATCCCTGAGGACATCTTAGGCATGTGATGATTTTAATGAGCATCTTACATATTGTTCATTATGCACTAAAGCAGTTGCTGTAATTGTGTCACCTCATTTTAATTATGTTTCGTTTTATTAACACTGGCTAAAGTAAATGCAGCCAGAACAATGAGAGAACATTAAGCCCATTATGCGTATGCGTAGCCTTAGTTATGCTGTCCCAATTCAGCCGTTTAGAGAAATGGGAATACTATTGTGGGCCAAATTGATCCAATTCAAATCAGGCACTATGTAATTAAACAAAAAGAAGCTGCTGTGTACAGTACAACCTTCAAAGTCAGACGTCTTGGGTAAAGTTGCAGACCAATAAAAAACAAAGTGAACTGCACTACCGTTCAAAATTTTGGGGTTATTTATTTATTTTATTTGCGTTCTCATGCAGCCCGTCTGCTGTTTTTGTTTCGTTAACGTTTTATGTAGTAAAGTTTCACAAAGCTAAAGTCAGATCATTCTATTTTTGCTTCAAATTTCAAAATTATACAATCTAATTTCAAACGAAAACTGCTTATGTTGCATGTATGCAGCATCTTTGTTTGGATCATGATTCAAATGCAGTGATTGCCTCTAGTTTTAAATAGAAAGAGCACAGGCACTTAGTTTGTTCATTATTTTCTTTGTATTATTTATTTAGTTAATTTGGCATTTGACATATTTCAGTTTCACAAACGAAAAGCATTTTGTCTGAGAAGTAATAGAAGGGCACCTTTTCATTTATAATTTGTCTTGAATTTCTTTTCTTTTTCTTAATTGTTTTAAAAAAAAGAAAACCGTATTGTGAAACAAGTATCGTAAACCATTTCGCATCATGAGTTGAGAGAATCGTTACATCCCTAAAAGTGACAGTAAAGACATTTATGATGTTACAAAAGATTTAAAATTCAATTAAATGCTGTTCGTATAAATGTTCTATTCATTAACATATCCTGAAAGAAATTTTCATGGTTTCTACAAAAATACTAAGCAGCTGTTTTCAATGATATTAATAATCGGAAATGTTTCTGAAGGATCATATGACACTGAAGACTGGAATAATGATGCTGAAAATTCAGCTTTGATCACAGGAATACATTTCATTTTAAATATATATTACAACAGAAAACAGTCATTTTAAATCGTAATATTATTTCACAATATTACTGTTGTTACTATATTTTTGATTAAATAAATTTTGCATTGGTGAACATAAGAGACTTCTTTCAAAAAACATAAAAAACATCTTTCCGACCCCAAACATTTCAACAGTAAAAAACCACAAAGCCTTAAAACTTAATTTACTGACCCAACTCTAAAAAATGACTAGATGTGCACTTCGGAAAGAGTCCAGTGCTGGATTGCAGCGGAGAGTCGTCTGACGCAAGCTGGGAATGGTTTAAGACTGTGAGTAATGCTTGCTCAGTGCTTCAGACCCGCTAACAAATACTTCCTCTCACTGCTGCAAATCTCCTAAGCCCTGACCTTTCCAAATTTGTTACAGAAGAATGATATGTGAGTCCCATTCAAACTCCCCCATATAAAGAGTCAATAAATTGCATCAGGATGTTATTTGGGGGCCTAACATAGGCATTTTAGTGGAGTTATGTTGTCAATTAGACACAACAGATGACTCAGAACACCTGTTGTGCTTCCAGCTAGGTGAAATGTGTCATTTTTGCACCACCAAATGGAATGATAAAAACAGGTTTTCAGAATCTGGACAAGCATTGATGCCTTCAAGCCCAATATAATCCAAACTCTGACCTGTAGGGGCAGAGGCCATATTGACACATGGGGGTAGCGCATGTTATAGCTCTAAACATGCTGTGGTGAACACTTGGTTGGGTTAGCAGACTCCATGGCCGGAGGCATGCATGTAAACAGGAACCTCGACACACACAGACTGAAGCTTTTACACATCTGGGTCAAAGAGAGAGAGAAAAAAAGAGAGACCTGTCCCGTTCAGTCGAAGGGATTGTAAGTGAAGTCTGTCCTCTGTGGTTTTTCCTCAACCCTTGCTATCACTCTTTGAGATAACAGACCTCTCCAAACATGCATCCTTGACAGCCACAAGGCACAAAATATCCATCTGAGGCTCATCTCACGACATGCTGTAGATGGTAAAGTGTGAGGCTTAGAAGGTGATGGGAAGTGAAGGGTGAAAAGTTGTGTAAGGGGTAAAGACCTTTCAGGGATTGGTCCTTTAATCTTCAATTCTTCAACAAGTCAGGGATTGTTTCTATCAAACAAAAATAGTTGAACTTTTGAGCTTTAGTAGTTGAGAACAATTTATAGCAGTAGCCAGGTGTTTCCTTGAAGGCTTTTTTTTTGTGCAGTGACACTTTTTTATGCACTTTTATGACACTTTTGTGAGTCACCAAGTTATATCTTAGTGCAGGTCAAGGATTACTTCACCTTTTAAATCTTTGTTTTTCCTCTCTCTCAAACTGAGAGTAGACTGTGTTAACTGAGTGCCATTCATTTAACAGTCAAGAGTTTTCTTTTTTCCTTACCCTGTGGTTTTCTACTTAGTCAGCCTTTAGTATTGCTTGGGAAAAAATGGTAATAGAGCTTTGTGAATAATTTTTATATAATAATAATAATAAATGTTTCTTGAGCAGCAAATCAGCATATTAGAATGATTTCTGAAGGATCATGTGACTGAAGACTGGCGTAAGGATGCTGAAAATACAGCTTTGATCACAGAAATAAATCATATTTTACAATGTATTCACCTAGAAGACAGTTATTTTAAATTGTAATAATATTTCACAGTGTCATTGTTTATACTGTATTTTTGATCAAATAAATGCAGCCTTAGTAAGGGGAAGAGACTTATTTCAAAAGCACTAAAAAACCTTACCGACCCCAACTGTTGAATGGTAGTTGATCTATAAATACTGATACTGATTTCATTTTTCAGTCAAGTTCACATACTTGTTTCTCTGGCTACAGCTACAAGGCTACAGCCAGTTTGAAATGTGCGTTCCGTGTCAGAATGTCTGTTTTTGTTTTGGTCTATGTGACTCCGCCCACTGCCAGTTTACCCAATAGTATTTCAACACCCCGGGTTGCCAGTTGGAGGACAGCGCATTGCAGCCATGGAGGCCAGCAAACAAACTGGGTCAGAGATCACAGATTCCACCCGACATAAAAAGCCTCAGCATCCGTCTAAAAAGCTCTCTGACCAGAGGAATATTAAAAAATGGATAAAACAACTCATCAACTTCCACTTTTAGGCTCGTCACCTTCCATTGTCAGTTACGCTCATTCCTGTTGCGTGTCCTCAATCTGGCAACCTGCGTGAGTGTCGAGTCTCGAGCCCAACTCTCTCCAATATTTTGAATTTGGACTGCAGTACCCATTTCAACTGCTAGCTGTCAACATTACATACTTCACCTTTAATGTCAGCAGTGTCATTTAACCAGCAACCTTGAGCTGATTAGAACAGCAGATCAGAAAGTTCTAACAGCTTGACAGAATATGAGTCTTCCAGATGCTTGATAGGTTGACATTTTGTCAGTCAGGGCCACTGGCAGGTCATCATCCTTCAGGTTTTTCAAGGTTGTTGTCATCCACATGCATACTGAAAATGCATTTTCCAAGAAAATATATACCTGTGGTTGCATATTAATATTTTAGCAACATTTATATGCAATTAACTATATTTCTGTACAATTATTTCATCTTAATCATTTTTTATGTACTATATGGCTGGACAAATGAAGAATATTCAACATGCTGTTTCTTTACCTTTCCTTCCAGGTACTATGCCATCTGTTGCCAGCCGCTGGTCTACGGGAATAAGATGACACCGCTGAGAGTGGCTCTAATGATCGGAGGATGCTGGATAATCCCAACCGTTATTTCCTTCCTACCCATAATGCAAGGCTGGAATAGTATTGGAATAAATGATTTGGTGAGTCACATCCATCAGATGGTCGACTGTTTGTGCTGATAAGGCGTGTGAAGGCAGTTTGACTTTGATTCATGTAATGATGATGTTTCTTATATTCTCTCTCACCTTGCAATCAGGGCAAGCGTAGATTATTAAAATGCTCTATAAAAAGTGCGGAGAGTGAGGGAAACTTGTGATGCATGTAAAGTCTTTTCAGGCATTTCACCATCTTCTCCGCTTTCTAGACATTTTACAAAAGGCAATTATGCATCCATGCATAGAAGCCAAGCCATTGTCTATATTTCTAGGAAAGCAATTGCAGTATGTAGAGACTCTCATAAAGACCAGCTTTGAGGGGTTGGTTGACTGAGGAGAAAATTAAATGCCACAGTCTCAGGTAGGGAACTTAATCCAATACTTACCAGTAAACAAACAAAAATGGCCCTGGGTGAAGACTGATGTGACACCATTTCTGTTTTACTCTGCTGTTTTCTGTCTCTGGTAGCTGACCAGATGTACTGTTTCTAATACAGGCTCTCCCAAATGGGGTTTTGTGAGTTGATGAAAAGCTAATAATTAAATTGAGTGCAAAGTTAAAATAAATAAATGCGGCTACACAATTAATTGAAATTAAACTGAAATCGTGATATAGCTTAGTGCAATTTTCAGCATCTCAATACAGCCTGGTTCACAGTAAACGCTGCTTCTCACAAAATATTTAACACGCGTTTTGGGAACACAATGTCTGCTAGGTTCACTTTATTTTAACGTTTGCACCATTTTCAACAAGTTTCAAGTTTACAGCATTTCACCAGTATTCCACTAAAATTACAACTCGGAAATTTAAAAATGTGAAAGTTACGTATAAGACATAAATAATAGTATCAAGTTCAAGTTCAAGTTCAAGTCTGCTTTATTGTCTTTTCTTCCACATGTACAGCACATACACACAGAGAATTGAAATTGCGTTACTCTCAGACCCTTGGTGCATACAGATAACACTAACAGTAGAACATAAATACAGATAGATACAGATTAAATATAAAATACAACTATACAAATATACAAATAAGGTAAAATTTAAAAAAATATATAAAGCAGCACAAGGCACATGGCAGATAGAGTGCAAACCAGTGAAGTAAACAACAGTGCAGATATAATGATTGTAGTGCAAAAGAGCTTTGCACTACAATATTGTATTGTATCACTAGTATTGTAGTGATACAATACTAGTATTGTAACGTAGTATTGTAACGATGTAGTAAATCACTAGTATTGTAACTTGCAGTGTAAAATAATGTAATTATTAGGCCTATCATTATTAAATACAATTTTTTTATTTTACAAGGCAATTGTGATTTACAACAATATATTTATATCTTCATTTTAAAAATTTGAATTAAAACATAATAATAACAGTAATAATAATATGCCCTATGTTATATAATTTTAAAATATAAACATCAAAATAAAACACCTACTAAAAACAATAATTTTTTTTAATATCTTTTTAATTAGAATCTCAGGCTGTACTTCAAGTAAATATTTACATCTAAGGGGTTCAATTTGCAAAAAAGCTTGAGAACCCCTGAGCTGATTTATCTAAGAAATAATTGAGACTTGAAGTGGTTTTCTCTGCTCAAGTTTGTAACTTCCTTCAAACTTAAATAATATAAAGGAATGAATTAGCATTCTATTTAAAGTAAATAGTTGGCAAGAAGAATTAGCATTCTATTCAAAGTAAATAGTTGGCATTCTGCCGTCTGGAGTCTTTTGCATTGGTTCACAGGCATTACATTAATGACTACCTATACTTCACATTTTCACAGATGTGAATGAGTCAAGCTTCCCGTTCCGCCAAAAGCTCTTCTCAAAGGAACTAATTAGCGGTTTGATATTGAATATCAATGATAGCGTGGGCCAAAGTCCAGCTTATTTTTTTAAAAATCCTTATACTGATGTGAAATATGTTTGCAGTTCATGAGTTTTTTTATTATTGATAGTGTTGCTGTTGGGTTTCGAGCTTGGAGGGCTCAGCGTTATGATTTGAGAGTGTTGGGAGGAGCAGACAGGAGAGAGATGCAGATGAACAGTAATTAATAGCTCTCATCATGATACTTCCCTCTGTGGATCAAATCAGTACTAGCCTGTTTGTAAACAGTATATATCTCTGTGTGTTTAATTTATGATTCTCACTTCTCTAGATCAGATTGAAAAAAAAACATCTCATCAAGCTCTCTTCACTTACAGTGACTAGTTATTAATTGTGGGGTTAACCACTATTTTTCTACTGTATTTCACTAATTATACATTAATGAAATGCAATAACATTTGTAACTGGATCATGGTTTCATAGGATAACAGTCTGAAATGATTCTCTGTGGTTTTTAATTGACTTATCCAGCTAAAAAGTACAAAATATGTGAAGTATGCTATGCTCTTTATATATAGATGTTTATATTTAAGATGTTCAAGTTTGGGGTCAGTAGAATTGTTGTGTTTCTCTCATGCTCACCAAGGCTGCATTTATTTGATGAAAAATACAGTAAAAAACATAATACTGCGAAATATTACTATTTTCTATTGTAATATATTTTAAAACATAATTTATTGCTGTGGTGCAAAGCTGAATTTTCAGCATCATTACTCCAGTCTTCAGTGTCACATGATCCTTCAGAAATCATTCTAATATGCAGATTTGCTGCTCAATAAACATTTCTGATTATTATCAATGTTGAAAACAGTTGTGCTGCTAAATATTTTAGTGGGAACTATGATGCTTTTTTCTTCTTTGATGAATATAAAGATCAAAATAGCAGCATTTATTTGAAATAATATTTTGTGACATTATAAATGTATTTTCTGACACTTTTGGCATCAATTTAATGCATGCTTGCTGAATAAAAAATCATACTGACCCCAAACGTTTGCTGAATCAAAGCTGCTGCTTTTAAACAGCACTGTCTTTATGGTCTGTACTGTACAGTATGGATTACCTGAAGAGCTGTATGCTGGAGAAAGACAGACTGCAAATGAGTCAAGACACTTAATGTCTTTAATGTCTTTACTGCCACTTTTTCCTCTGTCTCAGTAATTTTCCTCAGACAAACTGTCAGCATCGAAGAGAGACTGACGTCACTGTCTGTTCACACTATATAGATTTAATGAGTTGAATGTGCATGTCACTCCCAAAGGTCAAAGGTCATCACTCATGATGGTTTGAATGTGTCATCAAACCCTGAATGACTTTTCAAAATCGTTCCACACTAGAGGACGTCATGCATCAAAGGCTGAATTTAATTCTAGAGGAGTGTAATTAATTTACTAGTTACAAATTTAACGCACTTAATATAGTGCCGTACGTCACAGGATTTGAATGTCAAGCATGTTTTATTAATATGAAGTGGTGAGAGTCTCTAAATAGTGTATTTTAGGAGCAAAATATTTACAGACTCATGCCCTCTAGCCGAGGTCTCTTCCACATCTGAAGGTGCTTGTGTTTGACCAGATGAAGTATTGTGAGTAGTCACCTCTGCTCTCACATGACTGTTCCCTGAAGCCAAAGACACGTGGGGTTGAATATTAATGAACAGACACAGGGGGAGAAGCTGCTGAGCACTGAAAACTAGTGAAAGAACATCCTACACTTTTAAAAATGAACGCTCTGGGGAAGTCGTGGCCTAATGGTTAGAGAGTCGGACTCATAACCCAAAGGTTGTGGGTTCGAGTCTCGTACCGGCAGGGATTGTAGGTGGGGGGAGTGAATGTACAGCACTCTCTCCCACCTTCAATACCACGACTGAGATGCCCCTGAGCAAGGCACCGAACCCCCAACTGCTCCCCGGGCGCCGCAGCATAAAATGGCTGCCCACTGCTCCGGGTGTGTGTTCACGGTTTGTGTGTGTTCACTGCTGTGTGTGTGCACTTTGGATGGGTAAATGCAGAGCACTAATTCCGAGTATGGGTCACCATACTTGGCCACATGTCACGTCACTTTATTGGAGTCTGTGATAAAACCTTAAACATTTCATATCACAAAAGGTTCTGTATTGTGGAAACAAATTCTTAAGATTTTTTTTTTTAAGTCAAGTCACCTTTATTTATGTAACTCTTTATACAATACAGAAACACTTTATTTTGAGTCCATTTCAGACATTGTACTAACTATAAGTAACTTACATAACTACATGTCAACTAGCAGTCATTAGAGTATTAGTAGACTGCTTAATATCTGTTAACACTTTCCTTTGTTGGTCCATCAACAGATATTCTACTGAGTATAAGTAACTTTGCAAGTACATGTCAACTTATTCTAAACCTAACCCTAACAGTCTAATACGTTAATGGGTTAGTTAACATGTAGTTACTTATAGCAAAGTTACTTATAGTTAGTATAGAATGTCTAAAGTCCTGAGAAGAGATGATGCCAACCCCTCAGAGGACCTCAGATAATGCCAACCCTGAAACAACATACAGAACTACCACATTTTGCTATAAGTTTGATTGCATCATATAATAATTGCTGTTAATAGTGTTCATCGTCTGTTTTATTACGTCTTAAATTGATTTTTCCGTACATTTCTGCCGTATGTACATGAACTGACAGTCACCACTGATAAGCTACCACTAAATATTGTAGAAACTTAATTTGCTGTAAAGTTGCTTTGCAATGATTTGTATCGTGAAAAGCGCTGTACAAATAAACTTGACTTGACTTGACTTAAAGTGGACTATCAGAATAAAGTTTAATACAGATTGTTTCAAAGCAGCTTCAGTAAACTGGAAAAAATTTAAACTTCTTCAAATACGAGACAAATTTAACTTAAGACAATGTCATGATTAATTTCAAGTCAAAATGTTCTTCACATGAACTGTTCACTGAAAGGTGATTTGGAGAACCAAAAATGGTGTTTCTACATTCTTAAAAATAAAGTTTATTTATTGGCATCTATGGTTCTAGGGCTGCCCCCTAATAGTCAACTAAACATTGGTTGACGAGAAGAGGCTTAGTCAACTAAAATGTTACTAGTCAGTTAGTCGCAGAAAAAAAACTGTTTGTGATGGGCAGATTGTTAACGGCTGGTCCTTGAGGTAATTACAGTATATCAGGCATGAAATCTAAACATTCGCCCAAATATGTCTCGACTTCAAATATGGATCATTTGTAATTGAAACATGTAAGTAGTAGCAACTTTACATGGCCGCTCGCTGTGATGTTAACCTAGAAAAGTGTTTATGTGGCGTGTGGAAGCTATTAGAGCGCTACTTCATGGCATGGCGGCGCCGGCACGATCACTGCACATTTTTCCTGATAACAGTGGAAACAAAAAAACATCATTTTTGCTCATACAGATAAGTGTAAGACATCATTCAAAACTGTACTTTTATTTGTGTACACTCACAATATGGACAAAAAACAAATAGGAGGCGCTTTCTGCCGTCTCTGTCTCTGTGAAATGAAGTGCGTCACAACAATTAACCGAAACTCAGCATATCGGCTACTTGCCTCACAGTTTTGAGAAATCTATCTATAGAAAGCGTGACATTTCTGCTTTTAAACAAACCAATTCCAATCAAAAACAAATACACTTTGATTATGTAATCCATATGAAAGGTGCATTTCTCTCTGAAGGCGTCTCACTGTACTTGCGGAGATGATGAGTCGGCATCGTTAACTTCATCTCTGTAGCCGACACTGACTCAGAAAACACTAGTTTATTAATAAATCATTTAAATATCTCCTTGCTATTTTTCCGACACATTCATAGTCATTACTTTTGCCAGTGTTTTGCAGAAAGCTTTATGCGTGCACTTGAGCGTGGAATAGGCTACATATTAAAAGCCCCCAGTATATATTTAAGTAAATAAATTAATATAAACATGCGATTAGTCGACTAATGGCTTAAATGGACGACTATTAGTCGACTAGAAAAATCTTCAGTCGAGGCAGCCCTATGTGGATCCATTAAGAACCTTTAACATCCTTGGAATCTTTCCATTACGCAAAGGGTTCTTTATAGTAGATAAAGGTTCTTAAGATTTTAAAACCTTTTAAAGAAACAAGAAAAAAAAAAGGTTATTTTTAAGTACCGATCAAAAAAACAAAAATGGTTCTTCTACTGCATTGCTGTGAAAAGCCTCTTTTGGAATCTTTATTTTTAAGAGTGTACATTCTTTAGTGTGTGTGTGTAATCTGAATGTGTCAACATCCCTCTCTTGACAGATAGAGAAGCGGAAGTTCTCTGGCAACTCCACGGTGTGTGTGTTTATGGTGAACAAGCCATATGCGCTGACCTGCTCGGTCGTGGCCTTCTACGTACCGCTGATCCTGATGGTGCTGGCGTACCAGCGCATCTACGTCACGGCGCGGGCACACGCTCGACAGATCAGCATGCTGCAGCGGGCCGGAGAAGCAGGGAACGCGGACAGCGCGGACCACCAACGCAACCACCGCATGCGCACCGAGACCAAGGCGGCCAAGACTCTGTGCATCATTATGGGCTGCTTCTGCCTGTGCTGGGCCCCTTTCTTCATCACGAATGTGGTGGACCCCTTCATAGACTACAGTGTTCCTGAGCAGCTGTGGGCGGCCTGCCTCTGGCTGGGCTACATCAACTCCATGCTCAACCCCATCCTTTACGCCTTCCTCAACAAGTCCTTTCGCCGTGCCTTCCTCATCATCCTCTGCTGCGGACACAAGCGCTACCGCCGACCTTCCATCCTGGGCCCTGGAGCGACCTGCACGGCCACGCAGATCAACGGCTCGACACACGTCCTGAAGTAAGTGAGAGAAGCATTACATTTACCACCTTCTCTCTTTTCTAGTGTGGTTAAGATGAAACGAGGATAGATTATGGCAAGGAACAGTAACGTTACCATCCAGTGTTAATCTCATCATCAAAATCAACCCAGACTCATTGAAAATATGTGCTTGTGGCAACGTTTCTGCAACACGATATTACGTACCTTATTGCGTGTTTTGCGGCAGTTTCAAAGTGAAATGTCCAGTGAGTGGCGCTAAAACACGCATTTAATACGTGACCATGGCTATGGTTTTATTACGTTTGTAGGGGCACGTATTGCGGTGTTTTTATTGCTTTGGTTCAGGCACGTATTGTGGCGGTTCATAATTCAAATGTCCAGGAAGTGTCGCTAAAAGGTTACTGCTCTCTTGTGTTGGAAAATAACATACCCCCTTAATCAAACCCAACCCTATACCTACCCGATAGCGCTAACAAAAGCAAAAGTGATATAAAAACGCAGTCGCTGATGCAACTGGGCTTACTTATACGCAGGTTTGAGCCGTTTTGTCAAACCTTAGTTTCACAGGATTCGTACTGGAGCACTTCCCCTAACAAATGCAACGCCATATCGCGTGAGCTACCGAGCAAACCTACCATGTTAGAAAACCCATACATGTGAAGCTTTATATGTGATGCTAATGAAGAAGTATTAGTTCCTCTTCAGGAACTCGAGCTGCGTCGGAAACGCTAGGGGAACGCCTTCTGTGACCACGC